TAGAAAGGTAATTATAACAAATAAAAATTCAAGACAATGCTCAATTTGTAAAAAAGTTGGACATACAAAAATTAATTGCCCCAAAGTTAAAAGAGTTAGAAGACTTAATAATATTTCACAATATGAAAATAACGAAAATGATGAAAATGTAGAATATTTTGAATATGTAGAATATGATGATGAGGAAATAATAGATGCGGATAATGAAGAAGTAATTTTAGAAGATGATGAAAATGAATATATCGATTTTGAACCGCAAGAAACAAACTGTTTTAATATAAAAAAAAAAGAGGCGGGATTCCTATAAAAAACAAAGCTATCAAGCCAACTAAGAAAAAAATGATAGATGAAAATCAAGTATTCTTAGAATCGATTAAATATATAATATCATCATTAATTCCACAATGTCCAAAAGAAATTCTTTCAGAGATATATTCATTTATTAGAAAATTATTTCCAGAAATGGAAAACACGTTCCACTCATATTATACTAAAAATTATTCTAGTAAAGCAAGAGATATGGTATGGAAAAATCTTATTAAGAAATATCAATTTATTTTAGTACCGTTGATTTATATTATTAATAGTCATAAAGAAAGCCAGGAATCCATTAATGATAATCGTTCTTTAAACCATGCAATAAAATTATATCAAGAAGCAGAATTAATTCGAGATTGGCCTAATCCTTTAGAAATTAATTTCCTGCAAATAAAAGAACCTAACAACTATGCAACTATTCCATGTAAAATATACGATTTAGAAATACCTCATGCCTTACTTGATACGGGTTCTGATGGTTCACATCTTTCTAAAAATATTGCCGATCATATTGAAAAATATTTTGATTTAAAATTAGATAAAAAAAAGACTTATAGACTTTCAGGGGCGGTTGGAGAAAAACAATATATAGGAACATTTCACGATATTCCAATAACTATAGGTATAGGAAATGATACTTTAACTATTTCAGATGAATTTTCAGTTCTTCCAACGGAAAAAGATCATAATGGTAAAGATATATCATTATTTATTCTTGGTACCAAATGGCAACATTGTGCCGGATGGGAGCCAATAGTAAAAGGCGAATTTAAAGCTTCTTGCAATGGAAAAATCATTACTATTCCACTTTCAGTTCATAAACCTCAGCAAAATGTTTTTAGCAAGGCTAGCTTAAATAATACAGAAAAAAAAAATGCGTAAATTGCGAGAGGTGTAAAGATTTAGAAATGAAATTATATAATATTATCAAGTCTAATGTAGAAATTGATAATTTATTTGAAAGTATTTTTCAAAAATCACTTTTTCCGAATTAATTGTTTAATATATAAGCCATCTTTGCTTTATACTCTTCATTTCTTCCAATACTTTGCTCGTATAATACATCCATTTTCTCCCGGCTTATTTTTTCTGTAGGGTTATCGGCATTAACTGACATTGAAATACTATTGGAAATTGGTTTAGATATGTTAGAGTGGTGCGAATCTCTTTGATTAGTCTCATTTTTCCTTAATATTGATTTGGGTTTCGACCCTCCCTTTTTTATCGATATATTAGTGGATTTTGGATTAATATCTATCCTGGGAGTAATATCATTTGGTGATTCAGGTAAGTTTGCCAGTTTAGATGAATTCGATTTAGGCTTTATATCATTAACTGTTTCAATAATACAACGCCATTCATCAGTTGGTTCAGAAGGTATTTGATTATTAATTATATCTTTATACCGTTTCATACCTATACGATGTTTTTTACACATAATACAAGATGCATTTGGAATATTTCTGGGCGCATTCCTGATTTCTTTGATAGCTTCAGGTGTTAAAGGGGTAGCATCCGACCTGAGGAATTTATGAATACGAGTTGTTATATGTAATGAATGGTTATTCATGATAATATATACCAAAAAAAAAATCAATAAAAAATCAATAAAAAACCAATAAAAAACCAATAAAAAACTAATGAAAAACCAATAAAAAACCAATTTGTATTCTGTTTGTTACCAGTTACACATCTATATTAAACCAGTTATATATTGGTGTGTTACCGATGCAGAAGTGATTTAATATGGGAATCTTAGAAATTTGCAAACCGGTATGATTTTTTTTTATCAGTATAATTTACATTTAATATATCTATTTTTATTAACATAGGATAAGAAATATAGTTCATGGCCAATGTACATACATTACAGGATATCAACTCAAAAGGGTATCGGCTTGGGAGCATGCGCGAAAAAGAGCTTGAAGAAAAATTAAATTTTGCAATCAATTCTATAGATGAAACAAATGATCTTAGCAAAAAATTGCTAGATAAATATTCCGATCAAGAGAAAAGCTTCAACCGGGAAAGAAAGGCTTGGTCTCTAGAAAGAAAAGATTTAAATCGTGAATTAATACAAAATAATAATGAACTCCAGAACTTACGTACCCAGGCTTTGGAATTCGCCAATATCGATAAGTAATTACGAAGTGAAAATACTAATCTAATTTCTAGGAATACTCAGAAGGATAGTTATCTTGCGGATTCTAAAGCCGAAATTATTGCAAAGACGAATGAAATAATATTGCTTCAGGGGGGAATAAAGTCATTGAACGGTAAGTTAGATTTATCCCAAAAAAAAATAGAAGAGGCGAATTATCTCCAATCTAGAATAAGGTTATTGAAA